CGCGCGAACGGCTAATTTCTAGGCCACTGAGCCCTCCAGTGGTCTATGTATTTAACTTGGCTTATTTTTTTAATATCCCGCAACTATCCTACAATGTACTTGGTGGGTAACTGCCGTACACTCAAAATGGTAGAACTCGATTGGTCACAGCTTCTGCCTAGGACTTCGAAATTACCTCTCAAATTTAGCCATTTGCGAACACATAAGTAATTACTAAAGGGAGTTTATCGGTATATATCCGGTTATTCGATAGTTTCAAATGAGGTCATTAGAAGTAATCAATTGACGAGATATGAAAAGTCATTTTTGTAATGTGATAATCAACCTGACCTACTACATGGTAGAGTAATAAAATAGTGAAACATATATCACATCTACTAAGTAAGATTTATAAGTCATAGTTGGTCATAAATGACATACGATTTTACATAGATTTGCATTGGACCGAATCGCCATGCCATATCAACAAAATAAGTAACAAAAGTTAGAATAACAGTACCATAAATACTGTTACTAAGGATTGGATATATAGAATAAGGCTCACAAAGAAGGGATGAATTCAAGAAATAAAAGTATGAAATAATATTGGGATCTGATTTCTAAGAGAAAACGAAGAATGAATGCATGTGTGCTGGTAAAATTGATTTTAAGCCATGCCAATGAAGATTATCAAACGTGACATGCTCACTAAGTACTTTATCAAATGATTATAATCAGGATATTGATAGTTGTTTCAAAAAAAGATAGATATATAAAAGAAAGATTCCTTTTTTAAAATAATAACAGTACATAGTTTTGTTACTTTACACGTTGAATTCAATTAAATCATCAGATCTGTTTTATATGAAGCTATATGTTCGTTACAGTAACAATTTTATGGAACTGTAACTGAAACATGATTATTAAAGTGAGACACGTTTATTCACACACACACACACATTTTTATTTACGCAAAATGCACCTATTTATTCATCAGTGATAGACGAATAATACCAACACAGTCAGTATTTTAAAGAGATCAAGAACGAAGATTGGTGCATAATAATATGGACTCATTTTATTGTTAGGTTTTCGTCAGCTGCTTACAACTGAGAAAAGAATCAAGAAAGTACTCAGAGATCTCTTGAAGATGATGATCGACAATTTCACTTACAATAACTTACAACCTCGTGGGTCTCGTTTGCCCACATGTATGGTTTACCAAACATACATAAACAAGGTATTTCTCTTAGACATATTCTGTCAATGGTCAATTGCTGACAGCATGAACAACATAAATATTGCTGGTAAGCTTATGGTTTCCATTAATGTGACATCATTGTTTACAAAAATACCACTTCTTGAAACCATAGACATACTTTGCCAGTATTGTGACATCCTAGCTCTACCAGCATCAGAATTCAAACGAATATTAATCATGTGTACAAAAGATGTTTAATTCCAGTTCAACAATATCATATACCGACAAACCGATGGTATAGCAGTGGGAAGTATGATAGGTCCTGTCCTAGCAGATACTTTTCATGGCTAACCTCAAAAGAACAAAGCTCAAAGGAGCGATTGATGAAATGATGTATTATTCGAGGTATGTTGATGATACCTTCATCGTATGTAATAATCAGCAACATGCAACAAATCTGCTAAAACGTTTCAGCGAAGCCCATCCAAATATCCAGTTTACTATGGAGCAAGAAAAAGAAAACAAGTTCCATTTTCTCGATATCGCAATAAAACGAAGGAAGGATGGCACAGATCAACTTTCAGTTTATAAGAAAGACATATGGAATGAGATTTATCTCAATCTCGATAGCTTTTATCCAATGTGTTACAAAAAGACAGTTTTTAAAACGTTTCACAGAACTGCCGATACACTAGAAGAGGAAGTAATGAATGTTAAAAAATGTTTAAGGAATAACGGATACCCACTGAAATTTTTTGAGAAATATGGAAAACGTGAAGATAAATAAACCAAAGAAACTACAACAAATAAAAAACTTATTTTTATTCAACTTAAATTCAAAGGTGATAATGTCACAGAGTCAATCAATATGAGACTAAAAACTCCATTGACAAGAAGTTATCCTGCAGCAAAACTGATTGTCCTGTTCAAAACAGCATGTTCTTTAACACAATCAAAGGTCGATAGGTATCCCTTTCATGCTACCACCAACTACGGATACAAATTTACATGTATCTTCCAAAGCAGGTACATTGGTAGAACAGAAAGAAGAGCCTATGTCTGATTCAAAGAACATTCCGAAAAGTTTAAGGTCAAATGGATTAAAAGCATTCAGAAGTTCCATCGCAAGACATCTTGACACAGGATGTGAAGTCAATACATTGAATCCCTTCAAGGTGATTAACAAACATTGAAACTTCAACCTTTTGAAATTTGCCTAAGCGATAGCAATCAAACGTCTAAAATCAGATCTATGTATCCAAAAAGAGACAGTAATAAATCTTTCATTGCCCTGGTAACATTAAACCTCTTTTTTATTTTTACGACATTCATTATTTCAACTCTTCGTGAAGTTTAAATTGCATCATTGTCATTTTTCTTCGATTCATAGCTGACTGACTTCAATTCATATCTTTCTTTATTACCATTGATTTATTTTCAGTTGCTTCATTACACAATCATCTAATGTTTGTTAACTCTATGATTTCTAGTCACTAATTCAATGTTCTGGATTTTTCCCTCCCAAAATTTGTTTATCCTAAACAAAAATTTTATTATCTGTAATAACGTTGATTTTAAAAATGTCCTAGGTTCTAAGCAGCTGATGAGAATCTAAGGAAATACAATGAATTCATATTATTCTGCGCCAGTCTTCGTTCTTGCTCTGTTTAAGATAATAAAGGGAACTATATGAGATTCCTGAAAACAGTCCCAATAATTTCAACAATATTCACAGTCTCAGTCCAGATTCAGTCTTACTATAACTAAGCAATAAATAATATTGAAAATTATACCAAGTAAATTGCTTCGAAATACTTCAATATATGCTTGAGACACTACTATTAAAAGATATCCCAATGAATTATTTTAGTAATATGTAAATGATTTTTGTTTGAAGTAACATTCAATAAGAAAACCAACAGCAGAATAACTAATATAAAACATAGCTTACCGATTGGTAGGGAAAAATATTATACACGGAACATTCTCAACTCTCAGATGCCAAGGTAGGTCTAATTTCGACACGTCCACTCTAAAGAATTGATATAATATAAAAACAGAGTCCAGATAGAATTGATAACTAAATTTTACATAGGCCGTACCTGTTTTATAAATGTAACAATTTTAATTTTCGTACTAATTTTTTTAAGAATAAATCTTTACATTCAACTGTCAGTCTGCTTAACGATGACTAACACTTCATTTATTGATCATTAAAGTTCGAATGCATGCTATTATGTTTGAATCTCAGGGTGTCAACTGCATCATATTAGATTACGACTACTTCACCTATTTTTATAGTCCGTAATTCTATGAGGTAGATTAATGGTTAACACAAAGCTAATAACTAGTAAGTCACAAATTTAAACTCTGTTTAAACTAAAATACTGAGGGTTTAAGTTTTCTATGTGTACTAACAACGATGACTGCTAAAGAACTAACCAATCCACAGTTGTACAATTTCAGAACAAGACATATGATCTATGTGTAGAAATTATATTCAAAACAATCGCGGCAATTAAAATTTAAACAATTCCAACGTTTCCCTCTCGTAAACTGATAAGAACTTCCCTTAAGAAGCTACATAGAGTTTCATCAGACGAAGTTCCCTATGGAAGTACGTATAACTGATTAGTAAAATATGGTGTTTTACTGCCCTGGAGCTACAACGAAATCGCTTGAAGACTACTCAGGGATCCAGTAGGATTTAAGTGGTCAAATCAAGTAAAAATTCATATATATATATATATATATATATATATATATATATATATATATATATATATATATATACTTGATAAAGGAATTTATAGGTAACTGTTGAACTGTTCCTGTGAATAGATAGATCCACACCTCTAAAAACAAATACAATTACGCTAGTTCACCAATAACTACACACAATTTATCACTGCTTTAGAATTTGAGATAATTATCATGTACACTTACCTAGCAAACAAAAGATATTGGTTTGATTTGAAAAACCGAGCTGTTGCTTCAAACTGCCACAAAGCACTATTTCCACCAAATGAATATATACATGTTGACGAGTAATAGAGCAAAATTAAATTTTTCCTTGACTTTTCTAAACCGGATGACTGATCAATTAAATTCGTTAAGTGTACTGAACTTTTAACATCAACGATAAGTAAATCACTAGACACTGAAGAGTTGACTGATGTGTGTTGACTTGCTTTTGGATATCGTAACCAAGGTCGTAAAGTGGAATTGTGAAAACCTGCGATGAATTGACCTGGATAAGAATATAGACGTATAAATAGTTGATATAACACGAACTTGAATGCATTACAAGATATCACACAATGATTCATGTGAACTCTCTTAAAGACCTGAAATAGTAGATTCTCAAGCTTGGACCAGATTGACGAGCTAAACATTTGGAATCAAGTGACTTCATTAGCTGATATGTTTACAAATATAATTTCATTTATAATATTGTGGTGTGAGCTACTTATATTGACATAAGTAGTATATGACGTGCGTTAAAAGGATGTAAGACCTGGCAGTAGAAAATGGAGAAGATCAAGAAACGAAGAGCAAGAACACAATGGAATTTGTAAGAAATCGCATGGACAATGAAATGGGAGACAATGGATTAGTGTTTGCAACGGAAACAGTACAGTTTGATATGATACATTGATAATTTGCAAATTGACGATTGACTTTATGGTATTCAGATTTTATTGAGATAGTCTGTAATTTTCGTGCTAAATACATTCGATTGTCCCCACCTGTGTTCTTGTTCACTACAATATCATATCATAATTCACAAAAGTTAGTCGTGAGTAAGAAGTAATTAGACATGGTCATTATTTTAAACCACCTGGTAGTGAGTTTAAGACAGACATAAATCATACAGTTTTTGAGTCAAATCGTGCCTTCTTTCCTTCATAATTGTTTGCACTTACTTCGGTTCTTTTTTATTAGTTTACTTTCCCTATGTTATTCAGTATGCAAGTTTTCAAAGATACTTAAAATAAAGACGACAAGACTCAAAGAGTCAAATAAAGTCTCAATTAAAAGAGTAAAAAACAAGTGTAACGAGAGTTCGTACTACTTCAAATTCTCGAACACATAAAGTGTAACACCATTTGATAATTTTTTTTATCATAAACTTTCTCATCACAATACAAATTTCCAACCAATTTATTTATATAAGTGTAAATTCTGAACAACACTTTCTACACAAGATTTTAATTGCTGAAAAATTCCCATTATATTAAAAACACAATTGTATGAACGAAGAATATTCTTTTCAATAATTTCTCATCAGGTTCTACACTCATAAATCCAGATTAATAATCCATAAAATTGGCCAAATTTAAGGCAAAATACATCATTTGGAAATTGTAATATATGAGACAGGAATTATTTGTTATATAAATAAAATCGTTAATGTTGAGATGACTAATATGAAGTGTTAACTTGAATCAGTTTATAAGCGAAATGAAATTGTGAGAATAAATATGGTCAACATGGCGTAAGAGAGAGAGAATATTGTGATTACAAATCGGAAATTGCGTAATATGTAAAATAATTAGGTCAAATATAGTAGATTCAGGGGTGGATATTGAATAAATTCCTCAAAAAGGGGTTATCAAGTGTAAAGACAATAATAATAATAATAATAATAATAATAATAATAATAATAATAATAATAATAATAATAATAATAATAATAATAATAATAATAATAATAATAATAATAATAATAATGGCAGATGTTCTAGGAATTTGTACATTCGGACTCGTGAGCACCTGCCTGTGTGGTTAAGCAAAGGTGTTGTCAAAACTGTTAACAGCTCCATCTTAGACCATTTAGTTCAAACAGGACATACAGCCAACATGGAGCAATCTTTTACAATAGTTTATCGAGTCAACAGCAGTCTACCTAATTCCGTCAGACTGCGAATCCTACAGACTGCTGAAGCAATTGCTATTCGGATCAAAAAGCCAGAGCTTTGTATCCAAAAGAAGTATGTTCAGCCACTCCTTTTACCCTGGCCAACTAGCTAATAATCAATCTTAAAATATGGTGACGTAATCTGATTAATGTTCATTTTATGTCCCAAACTTATTATTATTATTACTGTTATGATTATGATTATTACTATTATTATTATTATTATTATTATTATTATTATTATTATTATTATTATTATTGTCTTTACACTTGATAACCCCTTTTTGAAGACTTTCTACACAGCCTGAATTATTAAAGTAACGCCCTATATTGTTTTTTTTAGCGGACAGTTTACTAGTCATATTGAATGGGTGGACCACAGTTTATAGCTATCGCAAGATACAAACAGTTTACAAGACTTTACGTTTCTGTTTAATTTTATAATAATTACTTATTTACTTAACAAAAACCGATTTAAATTCACTTTAAATTAAATATAAAATAGCGAAATTTAACATATGTATTCTTTAAGTACAGTCACAAAGTAGTTGGACAGTGAATTGTGTTAAGAAATGAACTGAAGTTCATGGGCTAATTCGCAATGATGGTGTTAAAAAATTTTAATTTTTTTTTTCATTTAAAGCATGGCATTGGAACAAAGACTCAAATAAATGAACCCGTAACTACAACTTACTTAAAGACTGAAAATTTACAGCTTCCTCAAGACGAAAAACATTTTCATTCTAAAAAGACAACAATTAATTACTGAATAAATAAAATATAAGTGAACTTTTTCATTTCTTTTTAAATAATATAAAATACGCACTGATAATAAACAATCACTGTTAAAACAACTGTGTTGTTAGTCATAGACAACGCAGGATATGGTACAAATATATTTTGATCCAAGTGGCTACAATGAGATAGTGAGATGGAAGTCAACTAATCAAGAAACGAAAAGATCAAAATATTACTTGTCGTTATAGGAAACTAAACACTGAAAATGTAGTTCTCTTACAAAGAATGACTACTGTCTAGCGGTCTAAAAAGATAACGCTTCCCAATACAGCTCAAATCATCGGTCAATGACCTCATAAACAGAGGCCAGATTTTAATGTACTGAAATACTTCTCAACCTTCTCTAGGCTAGTCACTGTAATCACTAACAGAAAAAGTATAATACCTTATGTACTGCATTTGGAGAAAATTTAGTTATAAATGGTCTTTATGCAATAGTTGTGCCTTTTTTTATCTAGTTTATGATTTTTTTTAATTTAGAATGGAAATTTTATTAATTTTTTATAAAAACGAGCTGATTATAAGAATTCATTGAATGTGGTGTTAATCAACCTGTTTATAAACTCTTTAAAAACTGATATACAAATCTTTTTACAGCTAATCGCATTATTTTACCGCTTAAATAAATGAATCAATCACTACCATAGATATTAAAAGTCAAAGAGTCTTCGATAATAATTTAGAGACCTGAAACACAAGCTTCGAAAGAAGAGAGCCATATCAACTGAATTTATGTAACTAGATTACTTGGAAGATACAAACCGAAATCTTTTAACGACGCAATTAATAATTTTAAAATTTTAGAATGCTTAAGGAGATATACCAGCGATGTCTGAAATAAATCAGATCTGTCAACTGTGGAAAGCTTAAGAAACTTTTAGAGGTAGTTATCGGTTCAGTAAAGTATCATTGTTTATAAAGAGGTTCAATTAAAGTTTTCCATGATAGAAGTTTGCGTCTGTTTTAAAAGATTAATCTCAACAAGTGTTTGTATATATTGATGAGGAAAGTTACATTTCGAAAAGCCAACCAAATATCTTTAAAAAATATTTTGTTATCTTCACCTCTAGAGTTTTCATTAAGAGGGGAAGTTTAAATTTATTGTGGAATCAAACTGGGATAATAAACGTAAAATAATAATCATCACTTATTCACCTGCATATCAATAATTGCAGCGCCCCATCTGTTAGAATTAAGCCAACTGGAGTCGTTTGAATATCCACCAATTTCCCAAGCTAATGTTGGTTGCAAATGTGAATCCAATGTATGGAATTCTAATGTTCTGTTTAATGAACAACCTAAATTGTAAATAACTGAATTCTTCAGATTTTCATAAGATGCATCTGCAAGTATCGGATCTAACTGACATTCAGGACCAAATGTTTCATGCATATTAACCAAACGATCAACATGATACCAATGACAACACATAAAATTCAATTGTTCCACAATAACCCCACTATCAATCCAATTATAATCATTGGGTAATGATGATGACGAGTACATTTCATTCTGTTTATCATAAAGAGAAATTTCATACAATAAACTGACAGCATACTTGATAACATCTGAAAACCAAATATAAAATCTCTCTTACGATATATGAAATAAATACTTTCCATTTATAGATACTATGAAAAATACAAATAAAAAGAAGCAATCTTGTAAGAAAAATATTAAAGGACCCTGAATTATAGAATTAAAACAGTTACTTGACATAGAATATGATGTAACTCGCCTACCGAGTAAGTATTTATGCACTAACTATATTTCTTGACTCCTGAAACCGAAATAGGTGAACCTCGGTTAGTAGCCGCGACTCTGGTTGGAAGTCTGGTCCTTCAACTGCTGCATTAACATTTTACAACACAGAACAACTTCATTCTTGATTTTATTCATGAACTGAAGTTTCTATTTTTGTAGCTTACAAAATAGGTACAAACCATTAAATCTAATGATTCCTTTATTTAGTTATGCTTGTCTTTTTACAACAATTCTACTGCAAACCTTTAAACAATTTCAAGTGTTTTTAAACACAACCATACCGAATACAATAAATTCCCAGAGTTAGCAATTTTAGCTTAAAACAAGTCTTAAATGGATTGTTTTATTCATGAAGTTAAGTGATATACGATAAGTACTTGAATTTCTGCTAATTACAGGTATTCAGTCACAGTAAAAAATAACGTAACGTGATATCAATGATAATTAATTATTTTTGCATGCCGTCGAAAAAATGACTTTTCTCTACATCTATCATTCATAATCAAAATACGAAACCAATCCCTAAAAACCCGGAAAATCATCCTTGAGACTACATACTTGACTAAACTGGATATAAAAGGAGGAAGTGTGGGGTTCTTGGAAGATAGAATTTATGTGGTTTAGTGAACTTCTGCGATATGCTTTCTAATAATAGGCAGTCCCACAAGACATTTTGACTAACAAAGTCAAACCGTGTCTTCAGGTCAACAATACGGTCACAATTAGATGTTTATAAATGTCTGTAACCCAGTGCCTGACAAAGGGTAAATAAAAGTGCTTTGACGCGAGTCGACTTCACCTTTACTAATTTCATGAAGTGAGATTTTCTGGTCTAATATTCTCTTTAAAACATGAATTTGAATGTCATTGTAACCTATGATCAAAAAACTAAAGTAGCGTGAAGCATCACCCTACGTGATTAGACATCACATGGTACACGATAACCAAGTAACAAAACCATGGTCCACACAATGTGAAAATATTGAAATGAACTTCTTAGCTCAGGTAACTAGGCTAATTAGTTTCTTTATTTTATGAAATCTGATGTTAGACCAAATATTGATAAAAACGATCATGATATGCCGAATACCGAGTATGTGGTAAATAACTCACTTATTATCAGTCAGTCGGTCATACGCAAACTATAACCTGACATATATGTCCATTGGTTTAAGTTGTCATGCTAACTTAGCTCAGCGAGATAAAATCATTCCAATGCAAATCCCAGAGTGGTTGAAGTAGTAACAGTATTAATAGTAATAGAAAAGATTAGGTATTGTAAAGGAGAAAGGGTACAAGGATATTAGGAGGCTTATGTTCTAAAGGAAGATAACTAGTAAATGTATCTGCATCAATGTGAACAATTCTAAGCCACGTCATTCAACGTCTCCAAATACTGGTTACGGAAATCACGCGGACCCCAACCAGGTAGCATGTACTTATCAATATGGCTCAGTTCAAATGTCAATGACTTTATGGACTGGTATCATGTGTGGTCTGCCCCCTACTACCTTCCTCCAAGCTATTCCTACGCTAGACATTGCTTGTCGAGGTAGGCAGTGAGGATGAATATTTACTACCTCATCAATCGATTTGCCATGATGTTCAACCAACATACTATGCCTAACCTTTGGATTGTTAATTCGCTAGTCCCAAAATATACGGACGATGTTTCGAAGACAACAATAGTCAAACATAATTTAGAAATATCCTCTATTCCTAATGGCCATGTTTCACACCCAAAATAGAACGGAGAAAACTGCTGCACAACAAACTCGTACTTTGGTTGGTAGACAGATATTCCATTTAGGCCACAAGTGATGCAAGTTGCCAAAAGCTAATTGAAACTTCGGAATCTGTATCGAGATTGAGTCAGATACCAGCCAATCAGAACTCATGAGACTCCCAAGATAAATGAAGTGATCGACACACACAACTACTTCACTCTCTAACATTAACTTAAACCCAGACGTACGCCAAACCTGAAGCAACATTTTGCAGTTAAGGTAGAGTATCACATCCCATTATTGCTTAAGGAATGACTAAACAGGACCGTCATCTACGCATTCTAAATCAACAAGTGAATCTTCTGTCAAAAGACCAACTTCTGATAAGTCAGACACTAAAAGTGTTATCTGTAAAAGGATGTCGATGACGAAGTTAAAAATGAAGAAAGTGGACATCCATGGTGAAAACCACTTGAACTTGAAAATTCTGATGAAAATTCGTCATAATCTATAATTCGAACGATAGCGCTCCAATAGAGAGCCTGTACAAGGTTAATGTACTTTTGTACGCCTTCGATTGACAGACACTACTACAGAACCTTACAATCAATAGTCGAATGCTACCTTAAGGTCAAGAAACACAATTATAGTTGGGCGGTGGACAGTATGTCTGCGTATCAGAACTCAATGAAGGGTCAGTGTGTAGTGAACGAGAACACAAGCGTATTTGAGTACAAAATTGCAAACATCTTAGTAAAATCTAAGAACCATACAGCAAAAATTTCATTTGCAAAATTTCAATAAATTATCCCAAACTTGACTGTTCCTTTTGCAAATGTCAATCAATCGTCTCAGACTTCATTGTTCTTTCAAGTCCACACCAATCATTCTCTTTTCTCGTTCTCTTTTCTTTGAACTTATTAACCTTCTGCCTCCAGGCATTTCACTTTCGATTGATGCATACTACTTATGTCTGTCGAGATCAGTAGTACACACTACACGTATTCAGTTGACGCATCCACATCCAGGTCTAAAACCAGCCTGGTTTTCTTGGGTTCGCTCTTCATGAGTCCTGGTTAAGAGCTGGAAGCTAACATTTTAGATACCATATTAGTCAAACTAGTTTCTCCGTGGTTGCTATAAAAGGATGTTTGTCCTTTCTTAGAAACTGGGACGATCAGTGAACGAGACCAGTCAGATTGGATGACGTTCAATTCCTGGGTTTTAACTAAGATCTGGACTACTACCCTTGAAGATTTTCGGATTCAATCTATCAGGACCTGATGCTCTTTCTTTTAAGATTACCTATAATTACTTCAACTTCATCAAAGAGTTAGAGAACTTATGCCAATTTGCCGTTCATGTTGGTAATTGAAGGTAGGTAACCGAATGATAGCTGAAGGTCAGTTGAACTGTTCCCTAAAGTGTTCCCTCCATCGCTCTAATCTCGTGAATTGAGTGTGAATAATAGTTTCATTTTTTTCCGAGATATTTTCGCTAACAACCGAATTTTTAATGTCGATTCCCCTGATAAATCTGAATAATTTTTTAACGATATCTACTGCCACTGCCTTTTCCATCCCTTCTTTTCGCTTCCCACCAATGCTCGTGATTATTTTGTAGGTTTTTTTATCAGTTATTTCAATAAACGCTATATAAGTTCCATAATTCTCAACTTTTTTATTTAAGTTACTAGTACCTATCACTTTGTTTTTACAGCTGTCTATGTATCGTCCCAAGCTACTTCATGATGTATATCACTTTCATTGTTAACTAACTCTTTCGCTAGTGGTTTCTGGAAAATATTCTTCACTTTTTCATAATTAGGCTGAACTCTAATGGGTCTTCATATTGTGACCTTTCTGTGTGCAGTAAGACGCAAATAAACACCCTGGAATTAGAGCATGACCAGAGTCTACACACTTGCTGCAGGATGTGCCAGTCTTTCATCAAGCCACTCTAACGACGGTCGATCGAAGTTTGGTCCATTTAACTTTATCGACTGTAAGGGTCTCCATGTTAGACGATGTCTTTTATTAAGCTTAAAGTTGATGGTTGTTAGAAATAAATGGTTATCTGGGAAAAGTTGCGGCAGCTGGTCTCTAATATCAGTTCGTTGAGTCCCTACACCGTAAAAACCACCTGGATGTCTTTCAGTTTGGTTTAGACCACTTAATTGGGCACTAAAATCAACTACCACCATTACTGCACCAAAGTTTACCTTTTTCACGGAGGGTTGAAAGTTTTCTACAAAACCTTTTACTCCATCCGAATTGCAACAAGTGGAAGCGTATGCAGAAACAATGAAGAGACAGTGGCGTGTGTCTCTATCTTTCTGAGTTTTTATTATCACGTTTAGTCAGACAAAGCATAAACAACTACCTATTGGAATCTGACAAAGCTTTTGAATGAACGCTTAAATTTGTTTCCTAGGCTCCTCTATTAACCCCAGGCTAAATCTACATGGCAACTTGAACACGAGAGGATGGTCGCGAAGTATGAAAAAGAACTCTTTATTCTAAGGTTCATTTATGTACAGAAAATTTAGGATATTTATAGCATTTTAGATGATCTTTGGCTTTTGGAAGGTTCTGGAACCTTACTAAGCATAGTAGCAGAATAGGCAATCATCCAATCAGGAATGAAACACATAACTACTCACTTTCTAGATGTTTCTGAGAAACTTCTATCTGACACTGATTGGATAGTGTTTTATAGTGTTTTCAGGAACCCTCCGGACTTCTTTTGAGGAATACTCTGCATCTCCCCAACGGAATCCAATAAAGGAAGGTCTGTTCCGCTTCTGAACTTATTGCTATACCTACATCAACGAGGTCACAGGCAGTAGGGTCTCCAGATACACGAAGGGTAAATCATACCAACTTTTTATATTAATAAGGTAACATCAAGTGAATGGTCGTACTTAAATTCTGTATGGGCGTTTCGGAGATGCAATTTACATTGATGGGACCAGATTCTAGAGTCGCAGCTAAGGAAGCATGTTATCATATATGACAAAATGCTCGAATATTGAAAGCTCTAACATATAGTCCAGAGCATGATTTTGGGAGACCAGAAATAATATTTCGTGAACTCGGATCACTAGTATTGGTGGCGTGTGGTGATGAAGATATATGAGAAAGGTTAGTTTTAGTAATAAGAGGAATATCAAAAGTTGAGGAGGATATTCGGCAGTGAACAGGATGACTTCGGGTGCAGTAAGAGGTATGGGGACAGTTTTCACTTATTGGTTGCCCACACCATAGGAAAATATTCCTTCTTGAAGGACCTGAAAAGAAAACCGGGTAAGTGGTCTTAGAGACCTTGGAGCGTGACCATAGAGGCCATGGAACAACTGTTTGAGGTCGGTCATAAACGACCTTCTTATTATAGAACTTTTTGATGTATTAACTCTGTATTTCAAAAGACCTCACCACTGGAGATGGAAATCTTATGGATAAGGGTAAGGTGTGAAACTTTTAACACAGACCTTTTCTAACACCGTCCTTTCGTTGTGAGGCAGCATCCTTGTAGATAATAGTTGTCTGGAGGAAACACCATACTGATGTCACATTTCTGTACAGCTTCTTTAGGTCTTACCGTTCGCCAACAGACCTACCTGACACGGTAGGACGGACCTAAAGTGAAAAGCATCTCAGCCAGTATAGCTCGTCCGGCTCATTACGTCAAGGTACCAGCTACGGCCGGGTTTATTATGAAACCTAATCGGTCCACCAGTTTTTTTCCATTTGCTGTGAATTTTATTAAAGGCTGCACCTCACTAGCACAATATAACTATAGTAGACCCTATACAAATAAAGTCGATTTCAAATTCAAGTAATCCTATCTATGTATAGGTAGTCATCAGTACTTAAATCTAGAATCATACAAAAAATAAACTCTAGGTGATTGGACTTCCTGATGAATTATTTCTAAACAAAAACTGTTCAGATAATAAAATGAGCGATCACATCAAATCCTTTGAAAAATATTTCAAAAATAAACTTGCCTTCCGCAACAGTTTGATTTTTAAGTAACGCAAGAATTCTTGATGCAGTTGAGTTTAGTTTATGACTCCGAAGTAAATCCGACATGGGGTCTGATGAATTATCATCAGTGATAAATTCAGAAAATCGTTCTCGCAGCTCACAAATGCTTTCGTTACTGATCCCAATGTGGAAGCTGACAAAATCCCACCATTTTGGACAATAAGCTGCTAATTTGCAACGCTTATGTGCTGTAACAATCGCGCCTCTATTCATAATTTTCAGTGAATCTCTCATGGTGAGATTCAAACTGAAATTTGTAAATGCTGGATTTACTATGAAAGTGTGACACTCATCATGTGGAAAGTAAGACAGTTTTAACAATTTTAGCTGAAAGTAAAGATAATTTTTAAAAATTACTTCATAAGCTGTTCAAATAAATTAAGAAAGAAAACTGCTGATTAAACCACCTTGATTTCGCTGACTAATCAGCGGTATAGTCAGCATGGAGAGGTAAATAAACTCTTTTTTGTAGCACAAAAGCATTGAACACAAAATATTATGGTCCTTCCAGACAGCAGAATATGAAAAGTGTGAGATATTACTTGGAAGCAGTTGCAAATTAATATTTTCGTGTGAATGAAACTGAACAGTCAGTCAGTAACAACGTGGAACTTCGTACGTATGCATATCAGTTCGAGTTGCCATACCACATTAGCACAGAGATGCAGTTGTCGATTCAAATCCCGTAGTGGTAGAGGTAGTAAGAGTAGTAATCGGAAAGACTGAACTACCTCCACTTACAAGAACGGCCGTCAAATCCCCGACTAGTCTAGACATATGAAAATGTTCACGAGTTTCCAGTATAATATCAACTACTGCTGCCTGAAATCTGAATCAAAATTATCAACAGTTTTGAGTTTAAAGCTCATTAGAATAGGGCACCAAAAATGAAATGGTCAGATAGTCGCTGAGGTACATTGCGTTTGGTCAACATCCGACGACAGGTTGCTGTTCATTTCTACCAACGTTTTTACAGCATATTGTTAGTCCTGCTAGACTATATTAAAAGTGGGTACTGTTGTTAGATTGTAATAGCTGCGAAACTGGATCAGTTGAACGATCCACATTCTAAACATCAAATTCATGGGTACTAGTTAGTAAATTATGAAGTCATAAACCAGATTTCTATGAAAACTCTGAAATCAGTATTAACTTGATCATTTAAGTCAATAACGTTTAATTAATACATATAACAGGCAAAGCATAAGGAAACGAATTTTCCAACTATGTAATTCTCCATAGACTACATAAATGAATTTACATATTTCCCATTTTTGAGTTTTTACCACACTTTTTAACCCGATGACACAAGAGATTGTTTAGTGGCATCTGCTTGTGAAATACAATTTCTGCTCCATGGATCATTGTTGTATCTTGTAGCAAGCTCATTCAACTATTGTATTATTTATCTACTCACTGTAATTCAGACACTTAATTCACTATGTTAATTGCAGTGTGTATGATTGAGCGCGTGTCTGAACATCAACCTTAATCTATTCTCCTATTGGTTGTAACATATAGATAATCAATAATTTATCCACACTTGATTGACACTCAAAAATATATATGGATTTTTAACTCACACACACACAGGCTCTTGGTTTCACAGTGTGTTTGCTCGCTGTACGCTTGCGGATTTTATTTATCTTTAACAAAATATCTCTACAACTGGTGTTCAGGCTTCTGAATAATCTCGAGTAAATCCATAATTCCACTAGGAGATTTAGCCTACCTTAAATACTCAGTTAACGAAATATTATTTATTGGAGTCAGATATAGAGGAAACTTGCTTCAACAATCTACATTTTTGAAGGCGATACAGACCAGTTATTATTTATTTATTTATTTAGTGAACACATAAATATTGGTACAACGGGGTACCAGATACATATGCGCTACAAAATAATAATGGGAATGAGAAGAGATAAAGAATGTAAGGTGCGTGTAAAAAGAAAAAAAGGAACAATAACGACCACAAATTAGTGTATGGTAGTGAAATAATAATGGGGGAGTCTTCTTTGCAGAAATTTAAAACAATTAGTCTCATTGCATTATCGAATTCATAGGGGGAACAGAAAGATACAACCAGAAAGAATTCATTCAGTTAAAGAAGTTACGGTCACTTTTTACGAAGAAAGTAAAAGAAGGTTACAGCAGGATCGCCACTGGCTTCTATTCTGAGCCATATCTGATAACGTCTCTAGCCACTGTGTTGCATCATCCATTGGATCCCAACCAGGAAGTCGAGAAGGACCACCAGAAGCCAGTCATGTGCAGCTTTCTTTCATACCACTACACAATGTCATACACTGACCATCTCTCGGCTTTTTCCAACCAGTCCCAGAGTCGGCAAATAATGCACAACGAGGAATTCTCTGGGACGACATTCGTAGAACATGTCCAAGCCACCATAGTCGATGTTTCAAGATGGTGACAACCAACTGAAATATCGTCTCTGCACCCGAACACACGATGCCGAACCTCTGCATTACTAACATGGTGTTGCCACTGGATGGCAGCAATCTTTCGGAGACAGCGATGATCGAACACAGAGAGTTGTATAAAATCCTCAACGATGACCAAACACACACACACCCTCAACTCGGAGAGACCAGGTTTCACAAGCATAGAGTGATAACTGCTCTCACCGACGCGTTGTGGATCCGACCTCTTACAGCCAGATTAGCATCACGAAGGCGCCAAATATGGCTACCAAAATACACGAACTTGTCGACTACTTCTATCCGCCCACTACCCAGGGTGAGTACAGAATCAGGGTCCTGTCAGTCTTGTAAAAACACTTTGAACTTCGAAGGTGCGAAGTACATACCGTACCTACGGACATTAATAGTCAACTAATTAAGTGCATGTTGCATGGCTTGGGCATTATCACACAGTAAGACAATACCATCCGCATACTCAAGGTCCAGAAGTCTTTCTCCAGGCGACAGATCCACACCGCCATTACTTACGTCCATCAGAGCTGTTCCCAGAATGTCATTGATGGCAAAGTTGAAGAGGAATGATGAGATTCGGCAACCTTGTCCAACCCCAGTGCTTGAGTGCAACAGTGGAGAGAGGTAGTTGTATGCCCTCACTCTGGCTGTAGTGTTTGTTTATTTGTTTATTTATTTGAACACATAAATATTGGTACAAGAGGACACCAAATATATATGCGCCACAATTTTGTTTGAGGGCTGTGATACTGCCCGGGTGCCCAGACCGAAGCAGGTGGTTTTCTTAGGGAGCCACTCCCCCAGCCTTTGACCTAAAGGTCTGATCCACAAGGCAGTGGAGCATCGTGAGGAGATGCAGTCCCATGGTAGCCGGTGACCAAAAACTAGTTCATACGCCATTTGTTCCTGCAGGATACTGGAGCCCATGTGCACCATTGGTTTGGGATCCAGTTAAAGCGCCGGACATTCGCTTTTCGTCCTCCCATTTTCGTAAAAAACATCCCACCACGAGAAGGCAGTGAGTAGGACTTCCTTGGCAGAGGCTGTATACGCGTGGCCTTGCGAGAGCATTTCGGGAGGGAGGGTGGGCCCACCCCACTCTCGGCCATACCAGGGCATTTGAGGGCGAGGTGTTTGTATACAGAGCTTTCAAGATGTCAAAACAATTCTAAGGAACGCCTTTCAATAGATTATCCCAGGAAACAGTCCTGTCCAACAAATCGAAGACAGCCCTGATGTCAAGAAACACTACGATTGTTGGCCTGTGATAAGTATGACGGTGTTCTAACATTTGGCGGAGGATGAAGATATGATCAATACATTCTCGACCAGAATGAAAACCAGCCTGCTCCTCGCGAGTCAATCCTTCTTAGGTTTTCAACAATCTATGAAGTATGATGGAAGTCAATATTCAGGACGCAATCGGAAGTAGGCTTATCTCCCAGTTATCAAATTCTTAAAACTTGGACATTTATATAACATCTTGACTGCAAAAATGTTCATTTTACCACATTCAACTAACCTTCGTGACATGATATAACTAGGAAATAAGTGTTTTCAGGAATATGACTTAACCAGGTTATCACAGCAACCAAACTCAATCACCATGTCTACATAACGACCACGATGTTACAAAAGCAGTTAAACCTACAAATATAGTAGTAAACAATTCACTCCATTTAAGAACTATTATTAGTGTGCTGTTGTTTAGGCGAAGTGGAATTTTGTTCTCTGAGCTGGATAGTTTGGTTGCGGAGCTTCCACTGTTCTGAACAAATCATCAGCTCAAACTTTATGCAGAAGTGAAGTGTCCGAATTTCTCCACATTTGACTCACAGCTTGTCCTGTCGACCTCAATCTCGATTGGTTATCGTTAACCTTCAACTTGTCGTTGTCTACCTCTTTGTTTTGGTTGCAACTCCGTTTGATCTGATTCTTGGTTCTATATTTGCCCATGATTTTTCTGACTGATCGATAGATTGGATCGCTCCCAAATGCCCTGGTATGGCCGAGAGTGGGGTGGGTTCGCCCTCCCTCTCGAAATACTCTCACACGGCCACGCGTATACAGCCTCTGCCAAGGAAGTCCTACTCACTGCCTTCTCGTGGAGAGGGTGTTGTTTACGAAAATGAGAGGACGAAAAGCGAATGTCCGGCGCTTTAACCGGATTCCAAATCAATGGTGCACATGGGCTCCAGTATCCTGCGGGAACAAATGGCGTATGAACCAGTTTTCGGTCACCGGCTACCATGGGACTGCATCTCCTCACGATGCTCCACTGCCTTGTGGATCAGACCTTTAGGTCAAAGGCTCGGGGAGTGGCTCCCTAAGAAAACCACCTGCTTCGGTTTGGGCAGTATCACAGCCCACACACAATAAATGAACTGAACTGTCTATGACCATGGAAACTAATTCTCTTGCTTCGACAAACATTCAAATGATTCAAATATTAATGCTATTATTATTATTATTTACTACATCACTATTCATCCTCTTTTATTCCTACTCTGTCTATACTTATTTTTTTCGACTTATACAGCAGCTCGTCTATGGTGGAAATTCGACTCTATCTAAACGTTCTCGAGTCACTGTCCGGTTGGAAATTGTATGTTACCACCGAATATGAGTACTGAAGCAGTTTTTCTGAAACCACGTGCACCATTCAAACTGGCTGCCTTCAACGTTCGCACATTTATGCAGGTCGGACAACAGATAGGGCTGGCTATGTCTTTGGAAAGTCTTAATATTGATGTTTGTTGTCTATCCGAGACCCGTATTCAAGACTCTGGCGAAGTACTACAAATTCGCTCTCCATCTGTCGCTTCGAAAAGCTTGTTTTACGTGCGCTTATCCGGGGACCCTGTGGCATTTTCGTCTGGTCTTGCTGGCGTTGGTGTCGCACTAAGCACTAGAGCTGAGGCAGCACTAATCGATTGGGTCCCCATTAACAGTCGGTTATGTGCTGTTAGATTAGAGAGTTCCATCAAAGTGAGAAGAAATCGGCGTGAGAAACGATGTCTTCTCGTCATCTCTGCCTATGCTCCGACAGATTGCAGCCCGGATGCAATCAAGAATGAGTTTTACCACGAGTTATCTGTTCTTCACCAGAAAGTGCGTTCGACAGATATTGTAGTACTAGCCGGAGACTTGAATGCTCAGGCCGGGCGTCTAGGCACGGAAGAGAGTCGTTTAGGTGGCCAATGGGGACTTGTTGGAGACCATCTACTGCAACTGTGCACAGACCGCAACCTGTTTCTGGCTAGCACTAACTTTCGGCACAGTCATCGCCGATGTGCCACCTGGCGTCTTACTGTGCGATAATGCCCAAGCCATGCAATCCGCACTTAATCAGTTGGAAATCAGTGTCCGTAGGTATAGTATGTGCTTTGCACCTTCTAAGTGCAAAGTACTTCTATAAGACTGGCAGGATTCTAACCCTGTACTCACCCTGAATGGTGAGCAGATAGAAGTAGTCGAGAAGTTCATGTATCTGGGTAGCTGCATAAGTGCTGGTGGGGGTGTGAGTGATGAGATCAATGCACGTATAGTGAAAACCAGAGCGGCTTATGCCAATCTGGGCCATCTTTGGCGCCTTCGTGATGTTAGTCTGGCCGTAAAAGGTCGGATTTACAACACGTCGGTGAGAGCAGTTATCACTCTATGCTTGTGAAACCTGGTCTCTCCGAGTTGAGGATTTTAGACAACTCTCTGTGTTTGGTCATCGTTGTCTCCGAAGGATTGCTGACATCCAGTGGCAACACCATGTTAGTAATGCAGAGGTTCGGCATCGTGTGTTCGGGCACAGAGACAATAATGCAATTAGTGTCACCATCTTGAAACACTGACTTCAGTGGCTTGAACATGTTGTACGAATGTCGTCCCAGAGAATTCCACGTCGTGCATTATTTGCCGACTCTGGGACTGGTTGGAAAAAGCGGAGAGGTGGTCAGTATATGACATGGTGTCGTGGTATGAAAGAAAGCTGCAAAGGACTGGTTTGTGTCGGTCCTTCACGACTTCCCGGTTGGGGTCCGAGAGATGGTGCTACACAGTGGCTAGAGACGTTATCAGATATGGCTCAGAATAGAAGCCAGTGGCGATCCCGCTGTAACCTTCTTTTACTTTCTTCATAAAAGTGGTTGTTTCTTCCTTAACTGAAAGATTTGTTCTGATTGTACCTTCCGTTCCCCCATTATGACTATGATTATTAGTACATTCCCTTACACCAATCTCTTGATTATTGGTTTTTTTACGTTCCTCATTGTTTTTTCTTCTTAAATTGTCACTGTTTTGTGTGGCACATATATATTTGGCGCACTCCTGTACCAATATGTGTTCAAATAAATAAATAAATAATAAATAGATTGGATCGATTTCAATGTCTGTTGATTGACGATTCACTAAAGTGCCGAGCTTCTAAAACTCCTTTGGTGCTTCTAGTACTCCCTCTATTCAAGATTTCAACATTTTTCCAGTCAGATGTGTCCACAGTCCATTTATACCTGAAGTTTAAGCTGATGATTTGTTTAGAACAATGGAAGCTCGACAACCAAACTATCCAGCTCAGAGAACAAATCTCCACACAAACCTTCCGAATCAAAGTTTAGTCTATATTATTTTCTTCATTTAAACATGATTTAAAAGAATGAATAAAATATGTGCTACATAAAACACACATCAATCTGAGAATTACTTGTTCGGAACAAAACCATGTTTTTACATAGTAAAGACCAGCATCATCACATATTCTGATAATAACTAAAGTGAACATACAGCCACTGCAATGGAATATTTGCTCACTGCCTTCTCGCGGCAGGAATGTTGTTTACAAAATTGAGAGAACGAAAAGCGAATGTTCAGCACCTTAGCTGGGTTGGTGGATACGGAAGGGTCACCCAGAGGAGTTGGAAAATCCTGATCAAAAACCAAAGGTGCACATGGACTCCGGGATCCCGAGGGAACAAATCGTGTATGAACCAATTGTTTGTCACCAACTACCATGGGAATGAATCTCCTGACGTCGCTCCACTACCTTGTGGATTAGACCTTTAAGTCGAAGGCTCAGGGAGTGGTTCCCTAAGAAAACCACCTGCCTTGATCTGGGAACCTGGGCAGTATCACATCATACACACGAATCAAGTGACTTGTGTGGCACATATGTATTCGGTGCCTTTTGTACCAATATCTATGTGTTCAAATAAATAATAGATAAAACATATCCTTAATTTAAAAAATTCTTAGTTATCTGACTGTCACCAAACTACGGGGAATTTCTTTAAAATATTGTACATTTTAGTTCAACTACAAAGTCAATAAAAAATTATCTTCAAGTATTCTACCAATAAAATATATTATATCTAATCTTACCAAGTACAGTGGTAAGTCCATTGGCTCAGCTAAGGACATGTGAGGGCCAATCAACAAAAGTACGGGCGTTTTTCTCAGTATATTATTCCATAAGTTAGAGCGCCGATTGTTCAAGGGGGTTATATCCACTGGATTAAAACAAGTAGTAGTACTATGGTTTCGAGATTTGAACAGATTCTCAGATAAGTTGTGCAAGCCACGCTCACCAAAACTTTGAACATCAACATGTGACTGTAAAAGGCAAAAATCAATTGTAGATTACTATTTGGCTAGGGTGGACTACTCTTCTAAAACAACAATTATAGATCAATAAAGTAACAAGTTGTAACAGTCTACAATCTCACTAGATTAGATAACTTGGTAATCACACATCAAATAGTGATCTAACCGCTATATTTTAAAATACAGTGTTAATGTTTCGATACATACTAATCAATGGCGACAAGTTTATGTAGAAGAGCTTAAAGACTAGGATGCTCATGCCACAAATACCAATAACAGGTAATATCACAAGACCTATCAATTAAGGATCCAGGAACGCGATGATAGTAGTACTCATTTCCCAAGAACAAAACGAGCGGATTTAACATACACTGACTTCGCTTCGGTAAGAAATAGTTCCGTTGTAGACTAAGCACCTTATTGATTTTACCGTGCAAACCTGAAAAACTATAACGGTGGGACTAAAGTCACTGAAGTTTTAAAAATTCTATGCATATATTCCTGCAAAATTATGTCAATCAGTAATAAATAAACCGGTGTTTTGGGACCTTTGTCGAAGAAAAACTAAGACTGTACAGATCTAACTAATAATCAGCGAGCATTTAGTAAGAAATAGAGATATTACTCAACTCAAACCCGTATTTTCTTTGACTCAGATTTATGGAAAATATCAGTCATATCAAATTTTAGATACTATAAAATATAGGCCATAAAACTTAATAAATTTTACCTATAAAAAACGGATATTTAGGACACTTTCTAACTGGATAGGTAACACGCGATTCCAGATGAATTAATAGTCAATTAGTTTAATTGGTTAGAGACATTACATCAACCCCTTTGGTGTATAGAAAAAAGTCGCTAGATAATGTAATTAAAAACTTACTGTGTTGCCACACGAAATAATTAAAGTAAGATGTGGTTTTATTTCACCAAAATTAAGGTGATAAAAATGTGGAGAGGCTACAGAAAACACAATATTTTTGTTCATCTGGTGTGGAACTTCTTTATATTTTGTCGAAACTGACATTTGATAAAAATGATCGAAATCAGACACATCTTGCGTGCGCTGGAAATCAAAAGATCCTAGAGCAATCACCTCAAAATTTGAAACATTATCAAAGAGTATATACTTTATGACTTAGTATGAGAAGGTGTAGATCTTCCAAATTATGGATGGTTTTCAACGGGAAGCCGATAAACTGAAACAGCTTGAGTAAATGACTGATTGTATATGGTCCTGAGTATTGGATCGTGGTTGTTGGAGAAGTGCGAACATTTAGTAGAGGGAAATGTCTCACTCTATGTGTCTGTCCACATAAGGAGGATGATAAACCGCAATTAACTGCAAAGATCTATCTTGAAAATAACAATGACGTAAACCCATTTACATTATAAGGAATCATGTTCTGAACAGCTTCGAAATTTGATCTAACACTATTTGAATCAGCGTCCCAATTGGCATATAGAAGCACACTTGACACAGTAGTAGAGGGCGCGTATTCTATATCATACGAGCTGTTAGCCAAATCATACACATTTGACTCAGAACTAAACAGAGCGCCGAATGATGAGCTGTCTTTAGTAACCCTAACTGACCTGAAAATAAATATGCATCAACGAAACATTCAGAAATCTCTGGATTAACCCATTTACTGTGAACATTTCGGAAATTCAGATAGCCACATTCCAACTGCACTGAACAATATAACGAAAACGTCGACGTGGTTTTTCATTTGGATGATAAATGTATGAGCATCCCAAAGCTTATTGCCGAACCAACAAAACATCGCCACACCTACTGACCTTGATTGCGTAATCGGCCTTGTGAGGCAGGTTAAATAAGTAGCACAAGCTCTTAAAGTTAAACAATACAAACACTCGATAAGATACCGTGACCAATTTGGTAATAGTGGAAGTTCTAGTAAACTTTGTTAGCTCTAATACATTTAGAGAAAAGAATTATCTAATGCTGGTCCAGGAAGTACCTCTAGGTTACGAGTGTGCATGGTTAGTATTCGATTACTAAAGGGTTAGTTCTGTCCTTTTAAACCTATATATGAATCCTTGATGTATCAGAGGGACGGTAGTCACGCCAATGGAGTGGGAATTCACATTTATACTGTAGCTGCAAATTGAGAAGGCGTAGAAGATGGTAACACCACTGCCTTTTATAGAACTACGTTATCCGAAAATGCCCATGCTGTGATTGCTGACGCCTACTTGGCCATATGAAGTCATAGTGGCTGTGCTTCCTTAAACAGTCGCCCTCTAACCGTTATTATACAAACCTCAATTACATCAGCAAATTTATGGTAAAATTGCATAAGGCCTCAGAGAGGCAAAGCAAGGACAAATAATAAGATTTAAGTATATACACACATGGGGAGGAGAACGAATCATCGAGTAATATTCAAGCAATCGACAATTTTGGTAGTCTGTCATGTGCTCTAGTGATCATAACGGTACAAAGGAATATGCGAATTGTTACAGTTCAGATAACATTGTCTGTTAAGTAAGCTAATAAAAAGGCTTAACCGAAATTAATCACAATCGAAATTGGTTTGTATGATAGATGCTATATAGTTAATGTCAGCTAGAGCTTACTCATTTGATTTGATCAATGCCTAAACGATAGTTCATTGTTCACTCACCCGAAGTTTTATCGATAGCGGAATAAAACTGATCCCAAACAATACAGTACTTTACTCTGAATGAAAATCAACGTAGAAGGCTCAAGCCACACGTTGATCGGCAGACGAAAAATAGGTAAAGCTAATAGAAGCTAACGAGGAGCTTTGTTAAAAATCGATGGCTCAGCCATGTGGGTGTGGTTAAGTTATTTAAATCTTTCTTCTTTATATTAAATATGCTATTCCTTCAGCCAAATTGTATTTGTTATTTGGTGATCGCTACAAAGAGATGACCCTGACTATCACATTGGGAGAATCAGTATATGCGTTTAAACGACTAAGATATGATATTATTTAGGTTAAGAGGTCAAAGTATGACCAGTAAACCTTGTTATATTAAGTCAAATAGTCCAGTAGCAAAAATAAGCTCACCACAGTCGAGCATAGATCGGGACGTCAGTATAACCATTACAGCAGGAAATGTAAGCAATCTTGGGTTATACGAATCGGAGTAGGCACTCTGTCAGTTATTTCTCATTTTTCTAACTACCTCTATGACCGTTTTTGATGAAAATTGTGTTATTTTGCCTTGTTGACAATTATTGTTGCTGTCGATATAAAATTTATCATAAATTCATAGGGCCATGTCTCAACATTTGGACGATTCATACATAGTAGCCGTACTTCAGAGTCGGTTGACTATCGTGTTTATAACACCAACACTATAATACGCTACCTGTACTGAACAATTTTATATCATCTCCAACCCTCCAGTTCTCTTTCAGCGTGAAAATCCATAGTCTAATTAAGATTTGATCAATCTTTAATTTGAAAACCCTATCAAGTCGTCGTGAGAAACAAATACACGAGATTTGTAAATAAATAACACCACATATATCACAGGTAAACGTGAGGAAACGAAAAATTGAGGAGTAAGGCAGTTCACCTTTGGTCCTGATGTGTCGTAAGTATGCGAATATGCGGTGGGCAATACATCATGAGAACTTAAGAGTTATTTCATTCAGGCTACGTAAGTTCGGTATTTACTTTTATCTGTTCAAATCTAAGGATCGAACCATAATATTGATCTGATTGTACTGAAGACATAAAAATTATGTATGTTACCGGACTAACTGTCAAAATAACAATACTAGCTGACCTAGCTGAGAATAAATGCGAATTGAATGGCATTAATGTTAACCAGTATGATCTAAAGTGTCTTATGAAAAATAAACCAGGTGCATAGAAACTGCCATGAAGTACCACGAGTGCGAATGCGCTGCGACAATATAAACACATATGTGAGGGGAGTTCGTATATTAATATATGTTTTCTCTCACTGCGTGGGTATATTGACAATTAGAGCGACGAACAACATGAAAAATCTAAGGCCGTTTATACGTAAAATCTACGGTAAACCCCAGTGTTTTCTACCATTTTCTCTAATTTCTAACGTCAAAATGAATCAACAGATTTCTTTGCCATACATTCTCGTTTTCAAGGTAAAGTTTAACCAGTAGCACATAAACTTGTACCCCTCACTTGGTCATGCAATAACGCTATGAAAGGGAAATGGATGATAGGGTGCATGTGGTAGTAATTAAACCCGGCTTTTATCAGGCTGACTTTCATCCCTAATAACCATCTTTAGGATAATGCATTGATATCTGTGTACAACACAAGTTACGATACTAGCAATAATAAGATTTACAAATTTCCAATAGGCTGGCGGTGATGTGACGTAACATGATCCAGCTCTCCTATGTTAAAAGTGTTTTATAGCTATGAGTTTTTATGAACAATATTTTATTCGAGCAGGTTCATTACTGGTCAAATCCTTGAGATATTTATGATGGCGTTGAATCCTAAGCGCATGATCTTTGAAGCCATGCATATAATTGTTGAAAAGATTAATCTTTAGCATGCAGCACTTAGAAAGGGCCATCAATGGTGGATACGGCAACAAAAAGCGAAATGTCATTTATCGGTCATGCATGCATGGTCACTAAGTATATAAATCTAAGCCTAGCCCAAAATGTGTTTTGCAGAAGTGCTAGATATCATGCTGCTCATCGGGCTGCTATTAAACGCAACTCAATTTCGCAAATGTGCCCTTCACCTTAGCAACCAATCAAAATGAGGCGGGATTTATTATATCCGTCATCTTTGTAAGCAATGGCGGTCGGGTTCCTTTGTTCTGTGCTTCTTCCAGCTACTTCTTTTGTGTGGCTATATAATTTAATGCTTCAGTGTGTTAAAATGCAGAAGTTTATGTAATTTTCTAATTGTTGGAGAGAACTATTCTATTGATTTAGCTTTGTTTTCTGGGTTTTCGCTGCTGCTAATCAAGTCAGTGTATTTCCACAGCCAAGCCGGATAGTCTTATGTTTAAGGCCGGTAATCAGTTTCCCAAGAAAATGACGAAGATATGTACTAAATCACTTATATTTACTACATATGAACTAGGAGCTGCGAGGCTACTGTATCGCAAGTCTCTTGCAACGATTAAGTTAGTAAAACAAAGTAGCGTTAGATTTAAAAATATATTCTGGAACTTTCATTAAGAATGGAATATCAAACAAAGGTTTAAACCAAGTTCCCGTTTAAAAGTTGTGTTGGTAATGTTAAGCTGCCGCCTTTGTTGTTTTTCTCAAACGCAAGGGTAAAGGAAGTAACTCAAAAGGTACTGGAAGTGGTTGTGAGACTAAAATGGACGTCCAGCATCCTTTTTATAATCTGCTGTTAGTTGGGTCTCGCGTAAACAGTTCCACAGGGCCATAGTTCCAAGGGCGAAATAGTTCTTAGGATTTATGAAGGCTCACTCCTGTTGCATTCTAAATGAAAAAATAGTAATGAATTTAGTCAGAAATGTGGAATGGATAAATAGACAAATCACATATTTTTCAGGAAAGAATTTAGGCAGTTGTGATTTACCTTGAGTTCATGAATATTAGACCAGGTCAGCTACTATTACTTATGCAAAGCATAACATGGGCTTAGTACCGTATCGCAATGCTTTTATTATTTTGCTCCCATTTAAGTATTCCCATGCATCTGCGTCTAGTTTAACAGGAAGGCATACAAACAGAGTTAGTGTCTGATAAACTAAAAGTCCCAGTTGTCAAAAAAACTCTTAACATTTATCCACAGTCAGCTGCATTTAATTGAGACACAGAACACTCATCTTCTAAGACTGTATACTGCTGTTTTGTGGGCAACTAAAAGCTCAGACGCTTAGCTATCTTGCTACCGATGTTATTGCTGGGGGAAATTGTTTAATGACAGTGATCATGAAATAAGGTCAGTGATAGATGTACAATCTAGAAATAAACAACAAACATACTTATCGCTATCTTATAATGTATGACAGCAACAGCATCAAAGGCACATTTTTTCCTATTTTTAATCAGACTGATCTGAATCAGTATATTCATTAGAAACAGGCAACTCTACTTACTAAACTGATCTGTTTCGTTACAGGCTTCAAGCACTTTACTTAAGAATATCATAATCCTTTCAACCAAACTGAACTATGTGACAACCAAGAATACTAAACTAAGCAAGTGTCATAGTTATTGTTCCATTTGCACAGACATGTTGCTTAAAGTAATTAAATGGACGTAATTAAGACGATGAAACCAAAACGCGAAACATAGGCCAGTTGAACTTACCTAACAGAAGACAAAGGAAATATATATTGTTTTGATACTGAATACAACAGGCAGTTGTTCATAAAAGCATAGTTTACAGTACAACAAACCTTTCTTCAGTAAAATCATGCACTGTCAGTCTATCTGGAAACAATCAACTGTGTAAATAAACTCACTATGACTTGAGATATCATCCCAGCGTACAATGGACGTGCAGTGTAACGCAGTCGGACGTGGCGAATAAAAATCAAAAACAAAGTAAAATTAGCTACATAATCTGGTTATTTAATTAAAAAACATTATGAAATGACAAAATCTGTAGTTACTTGAACGCACAAATGACAGTGTGCGATAAATTAAGTTTACATGGTTGCGTTGCGGATATGATCACCCCCAACGAGCCGAACTAATACTGAGTGCCCAGCAGTAGGGAATGTCAGTATTGTTTTCCAAAGGACCCAGACTTCCGACAACCATAGACGAAGTCACAGATGCTACCAATCTATTTCAGAGGGTTTATTTTAAAAAATATGCCATATAGCAGTAATGGAGG